CAAATAAATAAAATCTTTAAAAAAAAGAAAAAAGAAATTATTCCGTGTGGAAAGTGCTTCCCTTGCTCCTGGGTGAAAACTTAGCCTTATAATTTTTTTAATCACACAGTGGTAATAAAAAGTTCCAAAGTTGCAAACACGGTCTTGATTTATATAATTTTATTTATTTATTAAGTAGGGTTCATGCCCTGCATGGGGCTTGAATTCATGACCCTGAGATCAAGAATTGCATGCTTCACAGACTGAGTCAGCCAGGTGCCCCTTGATTTAAAATAATTTTAAATCTTACAATGCTCAACTCCATGTAATACTCAGAGCCTTGAACTTGATTTTTTTTTAAGATTTTATCCACTTATTTAGAGAGAGAGAGGGAGGGGCAGAGGGAGAGAGAGAACCTCAAGCAGGCTCCCCACTGAGCACAGAGCTCGACCTTAGGAGCCCCCCACCAACCCTGAGATCAGAACCTGAACCAAAATGAAGAGTGAGATGCTTAACTGAGCCACCAGGCGCCCCACCTTGAATTTGATTTAAAGTTAGTCCTCTCTCCTCCCTCAGACAGCACCTGATAGAGGCTCTGTGTGTGTATGTTTGCGTGCACATAAAGGGGCATGAGGAAGCAATAAATTTCTCTTCTGTTTCCCCCACCTGATGTTTCTGAGCTCCTCAGGCTTGCAGACTAGTTCCTGACCCTTCCTAGGCCAAAATAGAAGAGAGCAGAAACAGTCCTTCACTGGTACCTGCCCAAGCGGTTGTTTCTGCCCTCTGGACCTGGCAGGTGTTTGAAGCTCTTCCTTTGGTTCTCCAGGAGCCTCCGCTGGGAACATTCTATTCAACTTGTCCGTGGCCCAGCAAATGCCCTTTCATCCCCCACTGCCTACTTCCCCCTCAGGACCCCAGAGGTCCTGTGGTTCATCTCTGCCTTTCCTATTCTGTGCCTGGGTGCCCTTCTGGATGGCCACATGGGACAAGATTTAGTATAGGGAATTCGGAGCTTCCAAATGACCGAAGGCCACCTCCAGTGTAACTACCAGAACAAAAGAGCTGTCGCTTGTGCACAGTCAAGAAGCTGCGGCACCAGAAAGACACCCGAGAGCTGTTGGCTGCAAAGACACCCCAATCCTCGCGGTTAGCTCCAGCTCCAACCATGCCTGCCCGGTCTATGCCGACAGAACACGGACACCGCCCCCTGTCCCCCAGCCCCTCAGACCCCTCTTGACCAGATACCTGGTATCTGGCACCGAAAAATCTGACACCTGCAGAACTGTGCTTACTATCAGAACAGCAAAAATAGCAGAAACAGCTTTCACCAGCCCCCTACCTTCCAGAGCTTCCCAGCATGCACCTGATTATAACTTGCCAAATTCCCTCTCGCACTCAAAGCTCTCTGGAACATTTTATCAGCTCCCAGTCTCTGCACAGGAAAGGTGGTGAATGGACGCTGAGTGCCAATCCATGGGAATCTTTCCTTACTGATAAAATTAGGAAACTGACCTCCGGAGAAGCAAAAACACTGGAGAGTTAAGGTTCATGAAGATATAACATCAGTTCTTGAGTTAAAAAAA